TCAACACTTACAATGAACCAGTATCTCATGCAGACAGGTTTGGGTACAAAGCACATTAAGTGCTTCCAGAAATTTACTGAAAAGTGAGCACAAGCATAACCTCTAGCTTCCATTTAAATTTTAAAAACCTAGTTTATTTGTGTCTAAATCATAGCTCTCTTTTAGCTGGGCCAACTGTGCCAATGTGTGGACTCAACAGCCAAAAACAAAGGTCATGTGACTGATGACCAGAACCTGGGGGACTTGACTGAGAACTCCTTGGTGAAAATATCTACCCACGTATAAAACGCGACTTTAAAACATTTGTGGAAAAGTGGGATTAAAGTATGAGTATTTATTTGGTGGAAAAAAATTTAATGCATAGCTTGTAAATAGTACACATTTTTGAAGATTTCTCTCATGTTCTAGAAGTAGCACTATGCTGTGCATTGGAATGTTTCTACCTGCAAGGACCAAGTCTTTAATTCTACCTGGGTTTTCCAGGAACTTGACTTTTTAAAATTGGGTATAGCTCTGGGCACTGTATTCATTTCAAAGGCTTGTTAATAGCCCTAAATAAGGTGCAGATGGATTTCCCAAGGGCCAGATGATTAAGCAGCCCATTGGTTTGAGAGGGAGCCTGATTTTCAGGGGCAATTTGTCTTAGGGATGGTGGGATGGAGAAGGGAACAGTGGCCTCGCAAACTTTAGTGACTGAGACTGTCATTCGACCATCCCTGGCTGGTTTTTGGTGCCTTCACTTCAGAGCAAACAGCTCACCCTGAAAGAGCACTCCTCTGGCCTCTGAAGATGCCAGATCAGCCAACCATGCTTGCTTTAGGAAATTAATTTCATGAAAAAGCAACACAAAAGAAAGCGTCACTTAATAATGCTATATCCGGGGGACCAGCAGATGGTGTAATGGTTAGACTGCTGGACTCCTATGTAGTCAAAAGCAGTTTGAGTCCCGGATCCTGCAGCTTACAACACACTGGGCGTGTGTGCATGCATGCCCAAGATCTCGAAAAGAGAATGAAGAAGGGATTGTGTGGCCAACCACCCTCCCCCCCTCACCCCAAAGGGGTTGATTTTGCTCTTTCTGTTTCTCTGGTTAGCGCATGCACCCTATAGCAAAAATCTCTCCAAGCAATAATAATGCTGGATCCACAATACTTATTGGACTGGTTGCCACTAGGTCTAGTTGAGAACACTCCCTCTTTTGCTAATGGGACCAGGATTGTGGTCCCATTACTCCAAAGGATTTGTATAGACTTTAAATAATAGTTTTTCCTAAGTGTGAACAGCACTTCTCCACCCCAGGTGAGCTGAAAGTGAATTAGGGATACAGGCTGATTTGTAAAAACCAATTAGTATATTTATTCTCATGTAAATGAACCCTCCCCTCACCTTCTATCCACCAAAGTTTCAAAGACCCCCCTGAGATTGCTTTTCTGGAAGGCTTTTGTCATCAAAGTGTGTGAAGTTACTCTGAGTTTGAGGAGTTGGAAATTTTACACTAGCCTGAGGTTTTGGTGCCAGCAGCTGGGACTCATCTGTAACGGTGTTACTTTGCCTGAAAGCAGAAAATTAACAACCCCAAAGCCAAGCTTGGCTGTTTAGTCTGTAGAAGTGACAGGGCGGAGCAGAAAGAGAGGGAGAAAGGAGATTCCTCCCTGAAAGGGGTGTTTGCCATCTAAAACTGGGCTTCCTCCCTTGCAAATCTTAGAGATGCTTTCTATGCAGCTCTTCGGCCTACTCAGGGCCTGTCGGAGGCCTGGAAAAAGAAGGGACACCCAGTAAAGAGCAACCGGAAGGGGAAAGGAAGCCAGGAAACAGAGAATGTTCTGTCACCCGGTCTTCCTCTGCCCACTCCTTTAAGATGAATGGATATGTGGGGGAGAACTCAGAGCCAGTCCTGTCATGGGGCTAGAAATGCCACCAAATGCCCCCCCAATAACATAGAGCCTATAAAATGATGATCACATTAACATTTCACTCAGCTCATTCTCTACAAAATAGATTTTAAAAAACATACTCGAGATTAACTCCATGATTACAAATGTCAGATGTTTAGCAACCATTATTCAGTCCACTGGCTTTTAAAAAATCCTGAGATAAGTAAAGTGTCTGGAAAAAGAGAAACACCTGAAAATACGGCGAGATTCTTCAAGTCCAGGATGGAGAAGTCAGGTTAGCTGCTGGGGTCCATGGAAAGGAAGTTCGATTAATTATGATGATAATGACTTTGAAATGCATGAGCAATTGCAAAACGTTGGCTCTCTCGGCTCCTTTTGTTTGGGACACTCTTTAAGTGATCCCTTGGTTTCCCTTATCCAGAGAGTGCAAGTGAGCAGGTTGGGGAGCTGTCCTCCGCCTCAGCAGAAATGTAGTGAAACCATTAGCGTCAGAAGGGGCAGTAAACAGCAAATTGTCTCTTGAGAAAAAGCGGAGGTTTGCCCAGACAGCCCCCGCGGGGTTTGCGGTGGGATATGCTAATAGTGCCCTGCCACTGGGGCCGGCCTTCCTCCCCCAAGAATATATAAAGAGCCCCAACCCTAGCCGGCTGACCCAGGCCGACTGGCGTCTTCCGTGGTTAATTACCGGAGAAGCCAACCCCGGAGCTCCGCCCGGGATTTGCCCTCCCACAGCGCACAGGGCTCCCAGTTCTCCCCAATTCTCCCTGTCCCTTTCTCAGCCATCCAGGTACCTCTCTGCAAGATGGACATGATGGAGGGCTGCCAGTTCTCGCCTTCTGAGTACTTCTACGACGGCTCTTGTATCCCGTCCCCCCAGGGTGAGTTTGGGGACGAGTTCGAGACACGAAATTGGGTATAGCTCTGGGCACTGTATTCATTTCAAAGGCTTGTTAATAGCCCTAAATAAGGTGCAGATGGATTTCCCAAGGGCCAGATGATTAAGCAGCCCATTGGTTTGAGAGGGAGCCTGATTTTCAGGGGCAATTTGTCTTAGGGATGGTGGGATGGAGAAGGGAACAGTGGCCTCGCAAACTTTAGTGACTGAGACTGTCATTCGACCATCCCTGGCTGGTTTTTGGTGCCTTCACTTCAGAGCAAACAGCTCACCCTGAAAGAGCACTCCTCTGGCCTCTGAAGATGCCAGATCAGCCAACCATGCTTGCTTTAGGAAATTAATTTCATGAAAAAGCAACACAAAAGAAAGCGTCACTTAATAATGCTATATCCGGGGGACCAGCAGATGGTGTAATGGTTAGACTGCTGGACTCCTATGTAGTCAAAAGCAGTTTGAGTCCCGGATCCTGCAGCTTACAACACACTGGGCGTGTGTGCATGCATGCCCAAGATCTCGAAAAGAGAATGAAGAAGGGATTGTGTGGCCAACCACCCTCCCCCCCTCACCCCAAAGGGGTTGATTTTGCTCTTTCTGTTTCTCTGGTTAGCGCATGCACCCTATAGCAAAAATCTCTCCAAGCAATAATAATGCTGGATCCACAATACTTATTGGACTGGTTGCCACTAGGTCTAGTTGAGAACACTCCCTCTTTTGCTAATGGGACCAGGATTGTGGTCCCATTACTCCAAAGGATTTGTATAGACTTTAAATAATAGTTTTTCCTAAGTGTGAACAGCACTTCTCCACCCCAGGTGAGCTGAAAGTGAATTAGGGATACAGGCTGATTTGTAAAAACCAATTAGTATATTTATTCTCATGTAAATGAACCCTCCCCTCACCTTCTATCCACCAAAGTTTCAAAGACCCCCCTGAGATTGCTTTTCTGGAAGGCTTTTGTCATCAAAGTGTGTGAAGTTACTCTGAGTTTGAGGAGTTGGAAATTTTACACTAGCCTGAGGTTTTGGTGCCAGCAGCTGGGACTCATCTGTAACGGTGTTACTTTGCCTGAAAGCAGAAAATTAACAACCCCAAAGCCAAGCTTGGCTGTTTAGTCTGTAGAAGTGACAGGGCGGAGCAGAAAGAGAGGGAGAAAGGAGATTCCTCCCTGAAAGGGGTGTTTGCCATCTAAAACTGGGCTTCCTCCCTTGCAAATCTTAGAGATGCTTTCTATGCAGCTCTTCGGCCTACTCAGGGCCTGTCGGAGGCCTGGAAAAAGAAGGGACACCCAGTAAAGAGCAACCGGAAGGGGAAAGGAAGCCAGGAAACAGAGAATGTTCTGTCACCCGGTCTTCCTCTGCCCACTCCTTTAAGATGAATGGATATGTGGGGGAGAACTCAGAGCCAGTCCTGTCATGGGGCTAGAAATGCCACCAAATGCCCCCCCAATAACATAGAGCCTATAAAATGATGATCACATTAACATTTCACTCAGCTCATTCTCTACAAAATAGATTTTAAAAAACATACTCGAGATTAACTCCATGATTACAAATGTCAGATGTTTAGCAACCATTATTCAGTCCACTGGCTTTTAAAAAATCCTGAGATAAGTAAAGTGTCTGGAAAAAGAGAAACACCTGAAAATACGGCGAGATTCTTCAAGTCCAGGATGGAGAAGTCAGGTTAGCTGCTGGGGTCCATGGAAAGGAAGTTCGATTAATTATGATGATAATGACTTTGAAATGCATGAGCAATTGCAAAACGTTGGCTCTCTCGGCTCCTTTTGTTTGGGACACTCTTTAAGTGATCCCTTGGTTTCCCTTATCCAGAGAGTGCAAGTGAGCAGGTTGGGGAGCTGTCCTCCGCCTCAGCAGAAATGTAGTGAAACCATTAGCGTCAGAAGGGGCAGTAAACAGCAAATTGTCTCTTGAGAAAAAGCGGAGGTTTGCCCAGACAGCCCCCGCGGGGTTTGCGGTGGGATATGCTAATAGTGCCCTGCCACTGGGGCCGGCCTTCCTCCCCCAAGAATATATAAAGAGCCCCAACCCTAGCCGGCTGACCCAGGCCGACTGGCGTCTTCCGTGGTTAATTACCGGAGAAGCCAACCCCGGAGCTCCGCCCGGGATTTGCCCTCCCACAGCGCACAGGGCTCCCAGTTCTCCCCAATTCTCCCTGTCCCTTTCTCAGCCATCCAGGTACCTCTCTGCAAGATGGACATGATGGAGGGCTGCCAGTTCTCGCCTTCTGAGTACTTCTACGACGGCTCTTGTATCCCGTCCCCCCAGGGTGAGTTTGGGGACGAGTTCGAGCCACGAGTGGCTGCCTTTGCAACGCGCAAAGCAGAGCTGCAGGGCTCAGACGAGGACGAGCACGTGCGAGCGCCTACAGGTCACCACCAGGCTGGTCACTGCCTCATGTGGGCCTGTAAAGCGTGCAAGAGGAAGTCCACCACTATGGATCGGCGGAAGGCGGCCACCATGCGCGAGCGGAGACGCCTGAAGAAGGTCAACCAAGCTTTTGAGACGCTCAAGAGGTGCACCACGACCAACCCCAACCAGAGGCTGCCCAAGGTGGAGATCCTCAGGAATGCTATCCGTTACATTGAGAGCCTGCAGGAGCTGCTGAGGGAGCAGGTGGAAAACTTCTACAGCCTGCCGGGGCAAAGCTGCTCTGAGCCCACAAGCCCCACCTCCAGTTGCTCGGATGGCATGGTAAGCCATGGCTCTGGTATCTACTGGGCTACCTTGACTTTCTTAAAAATCGTTAGATCTCATTTAAGTCAGGTGTGCTAGTGCGAGAATAGGTGGGGTGAGGCACTTACTGAGTTGCTTTAAAAGAAGAGAGGTGTCCACATTTAAAAAGGTGCTGGGAAATAGTTGAGCGAGATTTCAGTTGGACTTCCTACCAAGTCCCAGGTGTAGTTGAAGTCCGTGACTGGGAATGGTCAATCAGCTGTTTTCTCCATTACTCAGTTTGTTTCCAAAATGCAGCACCAGGGGACCCTGCCACACACTAAAGGCCACCATCTGAAGCTCCCACTACCTCACACTTTATGACTTAATGGAAAACATGGAAAGAAATACCCACGTGGTTCAAGTTCCTGTTCGGCTGAGGCCTGGCTGTGAGGACATGTTGATGCATTCTTTTCAGAGGGCGTTTGCTCCTATGCTGCCAGGTTTTAATGTGTTTTTGCCCTGGGAAAGTGTTCTGTCCCTGAATTGGTGTGGCTTCCTTCTACTCCAATCCATTTTGCATGGTTAACCCAATGCACATTGCTGCCGAATTCCACCCCCTCCCTTTTCCCCTTTGCTGCTGTTCTCTTCTTCTAGCACAGTGATTGACCTTGGTGCCCTAGGAATTTGGAAAGGGCAACGCCTTCCTAAATCAAGGCAGTGAAGGGGATTGAATGTAGTCAGTTTACGGAGCTGGTGGGCAAGCACTGCCTCACCCTAAGTCAGAGCATCTTTTGCTAAGACCTGAAAACAAACTTCTTTTGTGTCTTGCATTATAGCCTGAATGTAACAGCCCCATCTGGTCCAGAAAGAGCAGCAGTTTTGACAGCATCTACTGTCCTGATGTACCAAATGGTAAGACATAATAACTCCAGAGGGGTTTAAAGACTAGTTCCTTCTCACAATTCAGCCTATCAAAGCAGAGTACGTTCTTCCAGATGGCACTGGGGAAGAGAATGAAGTGATAGTTCTTATGGGCTTCAATAAAGCCAAATAAATGTACTCAGAATCCTGCTGACAGATACACGTGCACACACATGGACACATGCACACATGCACACATGCACTTTTGGTTGAAATATGACCAGCCTCCCCACCACCACCTCTCCACCCAGAAATTGCCAGATATTTGCTGCAGATTTCCACATCAGATTTTCTGTGACCACCTGACCTCTGGGTGTCAAAGGAGCTGACCTACAGTTTAAGGGGCAACGTAAGCAAGTCTGTTTATTTGGGGATACTTTTTTTTTTTTTTTAATGCTTTTCCCTTTGTATCCTTAGCATATGCCACAGACAAAAGCTCCTTATCCAGCTTGGATTGCTTATCCAGCATAGTGGATCGGATCACCTCCTCAGAGCAACCTGGGTTGCCACTACAGGACCCGGCCTCTCTCTCCCCAGTTACCAGCACGGATTCACAGCCTGCAACTCCAGGAGCCTCTGGTTCCAGGCTTATCTATCATGTGCTATGAACTAAATATCTAGTCTATATCAGTTACGCAAGGAAGGCCTATTCACACAGGAGGAAGGAGGCCTCAGAAATCCAAAACCAAGACAATCTGTATATAAAAATTTCTTTTCAGTTGTAAAATTTGTAAATATTATTTTGCCACTTTGTAAGAAAGCATATTTAACTAAAAAGTCACTATTGCAATTAATACTTTCTTCTTCTTTGTTTTAGATATATAGATCCAATAATGTTATTTCTGATGAGGAGCAATTCATTGAAGGTCGCTTGTTACAGTGCTTAACTTTATATATATACATATATTTGTATGTATATACATATATATATAAAATATTGCTATCAAAATATTATCTCTCATGTTTAGATCGTTATTTTTTCTTCAAAAATTAGAACAGCTGGGAATCACTTACAGGGAATTTTAAACATATTTAACTTTTGCTTTTCTCTTTAATCCTATGGTTATAGTGTATTAAATATTAATAAAAACAATACTGCCTAATGATATATATTTTGATCTTTTCTTATAAAAATGCATATTTTTAATTTTGCAATGGGGAGCATGTGCTCACCAGAGAGAGACAGACAGGGTAAGAGAAACAGAGAAATGAGGAATCGTGCCCTGAAAGGGATGGCCAAGTTGCAATCCTTCACCCTCCATTTTCCTCTCGGGATTTTGGACATGCACACAAGTTGGGCATGAAAATGCATCTTTTTAATGTAAGCACATGATAGTACTTTGTTAATAATTTTAAGATATGGTCAATTTTGGAAATTTTACCATAAATAAAAGTATTTACTACAAGACATATTTTGGGTTCATTACTTTCTAAAAAAACCACATTGAATGGAATTAGCAGTCATTGACATAAACTTTTTAAGAGTGGACTGAAAACACCCTACACAGTTGACTTCATAAACAAATCTGAATATTTACCACCTTAACTATTTCCTGTTGATCTCATGAGTGAAAGTATCATGTTGCCATTTAAAGCATATTTCCAGGTAGACTGCTAAATATTTTTTTCCTTTATCTTAATACTATCCCTTATAATGTCAAGTTGTGTATGTGCGAAGTAAAGATGAAAATTACTCAGTACATTATAAAACATGCTTATACAAAAAGACCAAGTATCATATTGTATCATTTTAATACCTATAGTTTATTAACAATCATGAATTAGTTAAAATTTACTTTTTCTACTGGCCTTAAAACATCTTAATACATTAATATACTAATAGTGTCCATAAAATATTTAAATATACTGGGCTGATTTGTTTGTGTATTTTGAGAATGCCAGCATAATGAAACTTAACAAACTGTATTAAAAAAAAGCAGATTATGGTTGTCTTCCTTCTTTTCACAGACTTTGAAATTTTACTTTATTAATCATATTGTGTGTGGGGGTGTGTGTGTAAGAGAAATGGAGAGCTAAATGGACATGTCTTTTTTTTGGTTCATCACCTTACATCTTCTCCAGAAATAATTGAAAAACTAAACCAACTAAGTGGAAAATTAGGTTGAGGCAATCATTGAGATAATTATGACAAGTTTACCATTCAAGAAAGAAAGGGGAAATATCCTGTAGCGTGTAAAATAACTGTTCACAGAGAACAAATGTAGGTAACAATTTCATCCTCTAGTTTCAAATTGCTTAAGGGGTCATGGTTACATATGTTCATCAGACAAAGCATAGGGACTCCTTGCCACCGCTTGGCATTGCTATTGTTCTCTTTTTCTCTCTGTGATTTTCTTGTGCCTGTCCAGTCATCACGTTTAAAGGAATGAATCACTCTATAAGTGAAAGAGAAAGTATAAATTGAAAAATATCATGGCCACTGTCACTCTGTTAGCATGAAAACTTGATATGGGATGCTTATGGGATACATCTTTCTTTATCTGTGATGTCAGAGTGTGAGAATTTTAGATGACAATTCAAGAGGGCATGATAAAGCTTCATATATAGTTTCAACCTAAGTTCAAGTTCTTTTTTTTTTTTTTTAGACACTATGTTAGGTACATGTTCTCTGTATAATACTTCTGTGGAGAGATTGGAGATGAGTTCTTAGTAAAATGAAAAAGGAAAAATCTTTTCAAATATTGATTTAAGTTGGGAACCAGCAGTTAGCATAATGGCTATGTTGCTGGACTTCCATGTAGTCAACTGCGGTTCGCGTCCCGGACCCAGTGGCTTAAAACTCATGCCAGGTGCGTGTGCGTGTGTGCCCCAGATCTCGAGAGGAGAATGGAGGAGAAGGGATTGTGGTGTGACCATCCCCCCTGGGGGGTGAATTCTCGCTTTCTGTCTCTATGTCTCTCTCTGTCTGGTGAGCGCATGCGCCCTATAGCGAAAATCTCTCCAAAAAAAAAAATATATTGATTTAAGTCTAAATTTTAAATTTATTACCACATTCTGTTCCATTTAATAAAATTAAGCAGAAAATATGGTAACATTATTAATTCAAGAGATTAAGATTATTTTTTTTCTTACCAAATACCATTTTTTTCTATAACTTAGCAAGTATATTTGATATCCCTAGTGATTATTACAGTGATTCAAAATATCTGTTAGAGCTTTTCCAATGATCTGGATTTTGCCATTTTAAATTTTTATTTATTCACTTTTTGTTTCCCACAGAGTACATGTGTTCACTGGAGAGAATTAGGAGAGGGAAAAAGTGAGAAAGCATGCTCCTTGAGGAATGGTCATACCACAGTTCTGTTTTTTCTCCCTCCTTCTGGGATTTTGGGCATGCACGCATGCACATATGTCTGCCAGGGTCTTCAAGCTGTCAAGTCTGGAAGTCAGACCATGAAGTTGGCCATGTGAGATCCAGCTGCTTTGATGGGCACTCAGTGGGGCTGGCCTTATCGGGTTTTAATACAGGCGATGACCAATGTATGATTAAAGGCAATACTCTCCATGCCAGGTTTTTCAATGAATTCATTTCCAGTCTAATAACACTGAGGACGGGTGTCTACTCAGTAAATGTCTTAGCACAACACAGCATTTGAAGTTACATGCACTTCTTATTGGATGAGGGGTCTTTGGAGATTGGTTTTCCAATAGTTCAGACCCAAAAAAGTCATCTTTTCTCTAAGTAAACAGAGAAATAAAAAGGAGTAAAGCTGACATAGATTCCTATGTGACCAGGATTTTGCTACATACAAATCTGGAGTGAACAGTTAGGCTGCTCTGAGTTTGTATGAGACCACTTTACTTCAGCTGGTGGAAACATGCCACCAGGACTGGCAGCCAGATCCTATGTGGCCAGTCACACTATTGATGGCCCAGATCCTGCACGCCCAAAATCCCCAAAAGAGTGAGAGATGGAAGAGAAGGTATTTTGCCATGACCATTCTCCATGGAGGTGTTTTCTCCTCTCCTCCTCTCTGTCTCTGTCTGGTGAGTTTACATACCCTGTAACAACTGTTTGTTTGTTTATTTATTTATTTATTTATTTATGCATGTGTGTGTGTACGTGTGTGTGTGTGTGTGTGTGTGTGTGTGTGTGTATAATGCAACCAATTAACAAATTTCTAGGAGCAACTAGGACAATGTTCCTTTATTCTTCTGCAAACCTTCTGGAAGGGAATTCTTAGGAAATGAGGATAAAAAGCTTCCTTTCTCCTCATATCTTGCAAATACAAATTTTCTGAGGTACATGTGAAAATTGAGTCCAGTGAAATTATGAACATTGGTATGTGCTTTTTAGAAGCAAGTTGGTATTGATTGTATTTATTTTCCTCCCATTTGAAAGACACAAGTCAGATAAAATTAGTGACTGTGTTATACCCATACATACTTCTCTACGAGGCATTCAGACAACTACTTAATCTGAGTGTGATACTTCCTGAAATTCTCTCTTTGGGTTATAACAGTTACTAGATTAAGGTGGTAACTTAATTCTCTGAATTGTGGAGGTGGTATTTCTGGGAATATTAGAGTGTAGCTATTTGTAACTTCAGAAAAGCCCTGCTCAAATGACAAAGTACCCCTGACAATACCACTACTGCATATTCTCACATGGTCACAAAAACAATGTCCTTTGAATTTATTTCCTGTAAGAATTCTGATTACAGATCAGGCCAGGGAGTTAGTTTGTAAGATATAAATGGTGACTATTGGAGCTAGCAGGTGGCACAGTAGTTAACGACGCTGGACTCCCACATGGACCTGATGGCTTGCTTTCTCACTTTCTCCCTCTCTCTCTTTCACTCTGTCCCTCTCTAGTCAAATTAAAGTAAATAAATTAAAAAAACAAAGTTAAATACAAACATTATTTTAAAAAATAAATGGTGGGTCCTGCAGTTAGCATAATGGTTATGTTGCTGGACTCCCATGTAGTCAACCACAGTTCGAATCCCGGACCCGGTGGCTTAAACTCATGCCAGGCGTGTGTGCATGCATGCCCAAGATCCCGAGAGGAGAATGGAGGAGAAAGGATTGCTGAGTGGCCATCCCCCCTGGGGGGTGATTTCTCACTTTCTGTCTTCCTGTCTCTCTGTCTTTCTGGCGAGTGCACGCACCCTACAGCAAAAACCTCTCTAAAAAGAAAAAAAAAAGGTAACCATTAAAATTACTATAATGTTAAAATCTTGCAAAAAGAACCCTTTACAAAGGAGAAAATAAGTCAACTCCTATTTTCACTTATGCTACTTAATTTACCCCATTACTGATTAATCAGGGAATAATGATAAAGCAGCAAGTAGCAATTATTGCCTGTTTATCATTATGTAAATAAGGAAACTGAGGCTTTAGGAGTTTAATAATTTGACCAAGAACATATTGTTGGCTACCTGGGCTTCTTCAGAACAAATGTTTCAGGAGGCTCAGGCAGAAATGACAGGGTTTCCTATGACAGCACTGGACATCCCAGACATTACTTCTGCTACATTCATCTGGACAGTCAAGTTACTAAAGAAGAAGCAAATAAAACTTCACTTTTCAGTAGAAGAAATAATGATGTATTTGTATTCACACTTAATGTCCAAAGTGTCCAAACTGACAAGCATATACTTGCTATCTCCATTTCTTTACGTTTCCCCATTCTTCTGACTATAATCCGGCTTCTAGCTCTA